CCATACCCCAGGCCCCCCGGCCTGTACCCCCCACCCCATCCCCACCTGGACTGTCCGGTGTTTTCCTGACTGAGCTCCCAGCAAACTGCGGGAAAACCAACTGCCTAGGATCCAGGCAGGGGACCCTGTGGCACGCTACTTCGGGATAAAGCGAGGGCAGGTGAGTGGCCCTGTCGGGGGACAGCCTCTTCAACCCCGAGGCCCGCTGTCCCCAGCCCCGGGTGGCACCCCAACCCTGCCCCGCATGCCAGGCCCACTGCTCAAGCCGCTGCCCTGCACTGCAGGTGGTGAAGATCATCCGGCCCAGCGAGACTGCGGGCAGGTACATCACCTACCGGCTGGTGCAGTAGCTGTCCGGGGCCGCCCCTTCTGTCCGCCCGTCCATCCAGAGGCTCCGACACCCCGTCTAGCACAGCCTTCCCGGGCCACGATGTCCCCGTAGACGGAGGCCCGGTCCCCGTCCCTGTCACGAGGGCAGCAGAGGTGGGCGCTCTGGAAGAGGCCGTGCCAACTTCTTCGGGGCTGGGGCAGTTTCAGGACGGCCCTCCTGAGTGGTCTTGGCCGCCCCGTGCCCTCGGCCTGCAGGTGGGGCTCAGGGTCCTCCGTGGTCGCAGCCCATCAGGGCCGCCGTCCTTACCCATGTGGCACGGGCGCGGGCAAAAGGGAGCTGTGCTCTTCACGGCGGGGGCTCCCCGTCCAGCCAGCGGACAGAGCGGACTGCCCCTCGGCCCGGCCCTGCGCTGCCCGGCTCCCAGCAGCAGCGATGTTCGTGGTCACCCTCTGGGTGGAGGTTCCTCCATCCTCACCTGGTTGATTCACCGCAAGAGGGACGGGACTGGGAAGGGGTTGGGCCACTGGGGTCAGGTGACTGTCCTGGGCCGAGGCCAGCCCTGTGGTACTGCCCCGCAGTCTGGCCTGCCTGTGCCCGAGGGCTGAGCCGGCACGGGCCAGGCCAGACACCAGAGTTTCCGGGTTCCTCGCGATGCCACTGTCGGGTTATAGATGCCCCGAGTGAATAAACCCGCTGTTTCAGAACCCGACTGTTGGCAAGGTTTGGGGTCTCCTCGCTCCAGGCCCACAGGGCCAGGCGAGGTCCCAGCACCTGGTCTGCATGCGCCAGCCAAGTGGGCTGGGCAGGGAGAGGGCCCTGGGTGCTGGCCATGCCATAGTCCCCTCCCTGGGACGCGGGCCCTTCCCACCTAAGTGCCGTGTGAGTCGCTGGGTCCAGACACCACTGCCAGCCGCGGGGAGCTGCCATCCCTCCGTGCCTGTCTGGCCTACACCTCCCTGTAACTGCATTTTGATTCAAGAGCCCGGCCCACCCAGGGTGAGGAGGTGCTCTCAGTTGCCCGAGGCCAGTCACTTTGCCAGGGAGGGAGGGAAGCTCCTGCCATGTCCCTCCTTCATTCTCTGGGACCTGGGGCAGGCAGGTGGGCACCATTTCCTTGTCCCCCTCGGGCTGGGCTTGGACTGCAGTCAGCCGTGTGGCCACTGGTGTGTGGGCGTGGCCACGTGGTGGGGTGCTCCTGCTGGCCTTTCGGCAGTGCTTGGTGGGTGGGTCCCTGTCCCTGGTCACCCGGTGTCCTGGGCACATGTGTCCTTCTGGTGTCCTGCTAGCACGTCTCTGTCCTCCCACACCTCAGTACCTGCTGGGGGTCCATGTGGCCATGACCCCGTTAAAGTCCAGGGGCTCACCCTCTCTCCGTCCTCCTGCACCTCAGTACCCGCTGGGTGTTCCCGTGTCCACGCCCCGTTAAAGTCCTGGAATTCACCTGGGCTTTGTGTGATGCAGGGACCCCCTCCCCCATGATGGTCCAGGCGTCCTTGAGGCAGAGCCTTCCTCGCCTCCCCCCAGCCGTGCTGTGTAGCCCTCAGGCTCCCGTGGGTCTGTTAGGAAGTCCCTCTGTTTCCACTGGTCACTGTAGACTGGCCTTTTGTTTTCACAGAATTAAATTTAGCCAGAGAGAAAGAATGTGAGAAAGCAAGCTGCTGGGTCCAGGACTCGAACCACAGTCGGCCATGTAGGAGTCCAGCATCTTCAACTACCACGCCACCTTCCAGTCCCTGTTCTTTTTTTAGAATTTATTCTCAGGACCAGCAGTTAGCGTAATGGCTATGTCGCTGGACTCCCACGAAATCAACTGCGGTTTGAGTCCTGGACCTGGTGGCTTAAAACTCACGCCAGGCACATGTGTGTGCGTGCCCAAGATCCTGAGAAGAGCATGGAGGAGAAGGGATTGCGACATGGCCATCCCCCCGGGGGGTGATTTCTCGCTTTCTGTCTCTCTGTCTCTCTCTGTCTGGTGAGCGCACGCGCCCTATAGCAAGAACCTCTCCAAAAAAAAAAAAAAAAAGAATTTATTCTCGTTTTTAACTTGACCAGAGAGAAAGCAAGCCACCAGTCAGGGCCTTACCGTGGCCGGCCATGTGGGGTCCTGCTAGCTCCTGCGTCCCTTCCTCCCAGAGCGCATGCCCTTCTCCGTCCCCACCCACAGGATCTCGGGCACTCGTACACCAGGAGTGGCTGCCTGCGGCCCCATGGCGTCTGGCCCCTTTCACGCTAAGCCGTGGCTGAGGTCGCTGCAGTTTCAGGGTGGGTCTGACGGGTTGGTCAGGTCTCCCTCGCCCCTACAAACACGAGTATCAGAATGCCTTGGGGCCAGCACGGGGCATAGCGGTTACGCCACTGGACTCCCACGTGGCCGGCACGGCTCACGTCCCAGACCTCGTGGCCTGAGACTTGGGTGGGTGCGTGTGCACCCAGATCCAAGGGGTGGAGAAGGGCCTGCAGAGCGGCCACTGCCCTCTCACATCTGCCCTAAGGCAAAAGCCTCACCCCCACCCCGGCATCCACGACGGACCACGCAGGGTGCTGCCAGTGCCGGGAGACCCCCGCAGCTGCGGAGACAGCTGCCCGCTGCTCCTGGCCTGGGCACCCAGCCATGACCACGGTGGCAATGTCCGTCTCACTCAGGTGGCAGGGTTGTTGTCCCTGGGTGTCACTCCTGCCAGCAAGCCTAGTCAGCTGGTGCGGACACCGGCCTGCCTCCAGTCAGGGTAGGGCCGCAGGTGTAGACACTCCCGAACTGTGGGAGGTGGCGGTCTCCCCCAGCCTCTGTCCCTCCTGCCAACACCTGGCTGGCCTCTTTGACTCGCCCCCACCCTGTGCCCTGGGGGTCTGGTCCTGTCAGGGCCGCCCGGCTCCTGGAGGAGGTACCCCTCGTGGGGACAGGTGGGTGACCGGGTGAGCTGGCATTCACATGTGCTGACGCGGACATGTGGCAACTGCCTTTATTGTAAGCCAGAGCTGCAGACCGCGCCGCAGAGGCCAGGAGGTCCTGAGCTTGGGGGCCAGTCCCTCCCGGCCCCACCCGACCCTGACCTCCCCCCAGCAGCTCCTCACATGGCAGGGCGGGCAGGGCGGGGTTGGTGTCCCCAGCCCGTGGGCGCCCACTAGGCAGGGCCTCTCTGGGGAGCAGCTCAGCAGCTGGAGGGCGGCGTCTGCAGAGGCCCCTGGCCCCGCTCCTGCCTGGGGGCGGCCAGCAGGTGGAGGCCAAAGCTGGCGGGGCCCACTGCGGGTGGCAGAGCACCGGTGACCCATGGCTCGGACGAGCTCCGGCAGCCTCCCCTCGAGGGCGCCTGGTGCCAGGCGCCCCTGGCAGATCCGCGCGGGGACGGCCGCGCCGGCAGCACGCTGTTGGACTGGTTGGTGTTGAAGGCCCAGAGGGGCGAGGCTGCGCCCTCCCCAGCGCCCAGCTGCTCCTCGCCGCCGCTGCCGCTGCCCGGGCCCTCCTCCAGGCTGGCCTCGCTCTCCTGCTTCTCCAGGAAGCTGAGGCGGTGCAGGGCGCTGGAGGCCGAAGAGGACAGTGGGTCGGACGTCTCCTCCAGCTCCGAGTCGGAGTCGTTGGACATCACGCGGGACTCTGGGGAGCGAGGGGCAGTGACAGGAAGTGAAGAGATGGAGGCAGACAGACAGCAGAGAGGGGCGTTGGGTGGCCGGAAGGTTCTGGGTGTGCTGGGGTGGGCGTCAGCCTCGGACCCCCAACCCAGCAGAGCTCCCCCGGCGGCGGCCACGTGGGGGCGGGCCCTGGGCACACTGCGCGGCCTGCCCATGTGGGCGCGAGTGAGACCCGGAAGAGGCTGCACTTGTGTCTGGGCCAGACCAAGGCGAGCACCGCCCTGCCCCCAGCCAGGTACTCACCTCGGACCCTGTCCTCCTCCCCCTCGCCGCCCTCCAGGTAGGGCGCCTGCTCGACCTCTGCTCGCGGGTGGCTCAGCCCCTCCTGCAGGGGTGGAAAGGCGTCAGGGCGGGCGCACCAAACTCCACTTTGCGCCTTATAAATTAAGTTACCAAAAACCCTGGAAATTACAGACACCCGCCACGGAGGACGAGACCACGTCGGCGGCCCAATGTCCACAGGCTGGGCCGTTTGGGAGTTCACCCGGAGGGGCCAGCCCTCCCCGGGGCTGCTCCCTGGAGCCTGGTCAGTGGGCAGCTGGGACGCCAGCGGTGGGGCCGCCCCTGGCTCAGACAGCAAGGGCCCTTCAGCAGACACGGTTGAGTCCTGCCCCGTGGATGCGGGCGTGGAGCGGGCAGCAGGCAGGGGAGGCCTGAAGGACGCTGTAGGGACACGCTCGACCCCTTCTTGCCTGTCACGCAGTGGAGGGCCTCGGTCCAGCCCTGCCCTGTGCTCCAGGCGGGTCCAGCCCAGGGGGACACCCAGCCCACAGCCCTGGCCTCTGACGCCCTCACCTGGGCCAGTGGAGGGCCTCGGTCCAGCCCTGCCCTGTGCTCCAGGCGGGTCCAGCCCAGGGGGACACCCAGCCCACAGCCCTGGCCTCTGACGCCCTCACCTGGGCCAGTGGAGGGCCTCGGTCCAGCCCTGCCCTGTGCTCCAGGCGGGTCCAGCCCAGGGGGACACCCAGCCCACAGCCCTGGCCTCTGACGCCCTCACCTGGGCCAGTGGAGGGCCTCGGTCCAGCCCTGCCCTGTGCTCCAGGCGGGTCCAGCCCAGGGGGACACCCAGCCCACAGCCCTGGCCTCTGACGCCCTCACCTGGGCCAGTGGAGGGCCTCGGTCCAGCCCTGCCCTGTGCTCCAGGCGGGTCCAGCCCAGGGGGACACCCAGCCCACAGCCCTGGCCTCTGACGCCCTCACCTGGGCCAGTGGAGGGCCTCGGTCCAGCCCTGCCCTGTGCTCCAGGCGGGTCCAGCCCAGGGGGACACCCAGCCCACAGCCCTGGCCTCTGACGCCCTCACCTGGGCCAGTGGAGGGCCTCGGTCCAGCCCTGCCCTGTGCTCCAGGCGGGTCCAGCCCAGGGGGACACCCAGCCCACAGCCCTGGCCTCTGACGCCCTCACCTGGGCCAGTGGAGGGCCTCGGTCCAGCCCTGCCCTGTGCTCCAGGCGGGTCCAGCCCAGGGGGACACCCAGCCCACAGCCCTGGCCTCTGACGCCCTCACCTGGGCCAGTGGAGGGCCTCGGTCCAGCCCTGCCCTGTGCTCCAGGCGGGTCCAGCCCAGGGGGACACCCAGCCCACAGCCCTGGCCTCTGACGCCCTCACCTGGGCCAGTGGAGGGCCTCGGTCCAGCCCTGCCCTGTGCTCCAGGCGGGTCCAGCCCAGGGGGACACCCAGCCCACAGCCCTGGCCTCTGACGCCCTCACCTGGGCCCCGGGCACCGCCTCCGGCTCTTCCTCAAAGATCAGGTTGTAGTGGACAATGAGGGTCTCGATGACGCGGGCCTGGTGGGGGTAGTCGACCAGGGAGGACAGGGAGACTGTGGCCTCAGTGGGCTTCGGCCGCAGCAGCGTGGGCCCGAACACGATGCCCAGGTTCCCAGGGGTCATCTTGTTGTCCTGCTCGACCTCCACGATCCTGTGGGCGAGGGCACAGGGCGGCAGGGAGGTGCAGCGGTGCTGAGCAGCCAGTTTCCCCGGGGCCCCCGTGGACGGCCCTCACCTGCGCAGGTGCCGCAGCAGGTACTGCAGGGTGGCTCTGTTCTCGGGAGGCAGGTCCCGCAGGAGCTCCCGCAGCCGGCC